ATGGAGAATTGTTTTCTGGGAAGGGGGGAGCAAAAAGGCATTTGATCACATACAGCAAAAAGTAAACCACTAAAAAATGGAAAAAAAACAAACTTCTAAATTCAACAGTTTGCATGGAATCAAGGTAGCCTCCCATCCCAAATCGAGACATTGTGGAAACAAACACTCAGATTCTGCCCTCAGTAATGCAGGTGAAAATAAAGAGGAATGCTACTACGATTACTGCCCTACTCTTGTATAGCAATTTAGCCAGTAGATCTCAAAGCACTTTGCAAAGGAGATCAGAATCATTAGCCCCATTTTACATATGGGAAAAATGAGGCACAGAGCAGCAATATTAGTTGCCCAAGCTTATCCTACAGGCTATCAGCAGAGATGGTGCTAGAACCCAACTCTCCTGACTTTCAGTCCAGTGCCTTATCCACTCAGCCACACTTCTCTGACATTACATGGATTTACACATGTGTAACAGAACGGTTTGTAAGAACTGAGGCTCAACATCCAGCAATGACCTGCTATGTACTCGCTCAGCAGGCTTAGTGTCCCACAGGATCACAGCTCCCTATCATCATTTCAGCACATATGTATACGTGAATTAAAACCGACTACACAGCTCATGCAGAAAAGATTACTTCTACTTTTTGTTTGCAGCACCTTGCCACTAATACAAGATTTTCTGGGTCATGTTTACAGACTTCATATATCCAAAGTCCGGCCCTCACAGTGCAATTCTTTTAAGCTTGCTGGTTAGTTAACATTGTTTTGTGAAGCTTGTTTTCCAATTAATGCTATTTCCACACTTATTGTGTTGTATTATTACACAACACAGAGGTATTTTGTAACAAAGGAGTGCAAAATAAAAAACCTAGGGGAAGGGGAAAACTTAACTTATTGATACAACAAAGTCGCAGATCCTTAAAAAAATTAGCATCCAATCTGCCATCTAACTTGTGTAGCTTTAAAACAAGTGTCTTAAAAAATGAACCCAAAATGGTACCAATGCAGGGAGAAGGCACACTGCGGCTTGCAGCCAGAGATGAGAGAACACCAGGAGCGCATACCTTTCGTTTTAAAGTTGGCTTGGTGAGAACAGGCGGAGAGTCTGAACGAGGACTCACAGGCTCATCCTCCTCCTCTTCACTACTTTCACTAAAGCACCTCAGGAGAGTCCTGTCACTGTCACTATATCGCCGGGGCAATCTGTCACACTCCTCTGTGAACCTGCATTTCAGGAGCTCAGTGCTGTTCTTTAGCTGCCCCCTCCACATTTCCATGCCTTCACTGTATCGCCTTCGTGGGGCTGAGGACTTTTCACCTTTGCCAGGCTGTCCCTGAGGGACTGCAGATTTTTCCTCCTCTTCACCATAGCGCCCCCGTGCGGCTGGAGATTTCTCCTCGCATTCCCCACAGCGCCCCCGCGAGGCTGCTGACTTCTCCTCACATTCCCCACAGCGCCCCCGCGAGGCTGCTGACTTCTCCTCGCATTCACTGCATCGCCCACTGGGGACTGCTGACTTATCCTCCATGAGCAATTTCTGTTCCTTCTCACTAAAGGGTTCTTGCAGTTTTTTGCCTTTTCGGCTCCATCGGCCTCTCCGAGATGGCTGGCTGTTTGCAGGAAGATTATCCAGGGGAAGAACTTGCTTATTGGGCCGTGTAGAACTGTCTGGAATTACAATTACTGGCTTTTTTTCATTCTCCATCAGAGAATAAGGCTCTTGTTCCTTCTTCTCCCACAATACAGATTTTACCACCTGAATTAAATAAAATAAATAAGTTTCACATATTGTATTTAAAGTATGTTTCCATCCTGAATCCCCCACAAAGCCAACAAAGCTCTTGACCAAGACAAGGGACAGTTCTGGAAACAGAAGGATTCAGAACAAGGTATCAGGGATGGCTCCTGGGAATTGCAGAATGGCAAATGGATAGATCCGAAAGGGCTGCAAAGGGGTGCCAAAATCCCAGTCTGATAATGTTCTCCCACAAGCATCCTGAGAGCTTATTTCTGTTACTAATGGCCAGAGCTCGCCAAAGTGTGCGCAGATCGCCGGAACCCAGCTCTTCCGGATTACGATCTACTTGCCACGGACGAGTAGATTGTATAATTTGTCGAGCCCTGCTAATGGCCATTAGTTTACTGATACTCGTGGGAATGAAAATATAATAATCTTACACCAAAGCCCAGTATCTGTTCACCCTTGGAGGAAGGGGGATGTAAAAGCATTTTTTCCAGTTACTGTGCATGGTCAAAGACAAGAGAATTAATTTTCTGTGGCAATGTAGAGTCAAGTGCATTTCCCAGTTTAAATGCTATAGCAGTGTGCAATCAGCTTGTCAACAACATTAAGGCAATTTGTTTAGGTCACTTCTCAAAGCTGTTACTGATGTAACAAGTGCACTGCTTGAGAATATGATGACTTTTTGGTTTTCCACTGTTTTGTGGGCAGTGATAGGAGGGCAGAGTTATACGGTTTTGGTGCTCTTTGTTGTGCATTTTCATACTGAGCAACATCTTCTGATTTTTTTAGTATAAATTTAACTTTGAATATCTATGATATTCAATGTTTCTGAAAAACCACATAAATTATTTAAGGAAAAAAATCTACAGAATTTCCATATTATTACAACCTTGGTTCCATTTTTACAGTGTGTGGCCTGGGCATTTCTGCAAGTTAAAATAAATGAGCAATTGTTCAGCAACAACGTTCTCTGTGGAATTTCCAACCATATTGCACAGGGATGGTCTCTACTTCCCTTCAGGCTATGTCCCATTTGGCTTTCACTTCTCTGGTTTCTGATCTGAAAATAGACAAGCAACCTAACCGAAATTCTGATGCCATCTACCATTAAATAAAATACCTTAATGTCCCATTCCAACTTCTTAACTGGAAACAAAACACTTGCATTTCCTGGAGAAGTACAAAAGCTGACTGAGTAGGACTCAATCTCACGCTATGGTTTATATAAAAAGAGAACAGATTCACTTTTACACTGACCTCTCGTTCCTTCTGCTGCTGCTCTTCATTTTCTCCTTCCTCAGTCTCTTCCTCTTCATCCTCAGAAACTACAGTGTTGGAAACAATAACAGGTGTCCAGCGCAGACATTCTGGATCTACAGCTACAGGCCGGAGATTCACCTGGAGCTTTGTCATATGATCCTGGATAAGCTTCTCCCGACGAACAATAACAAATCTGGGAACATAGAAAAATCCTTCAGTCTGCCATAAGTGTGAGGCACATTGAAAACACAAACGTGAGAAATGGATGCAAAGCAAGATATAATAGTAAGTACACTTGTGATGTAGTGGGGGTGCGGTCTGCTCTGTGTGATGTGTGATTCCCACTGACTCACCCACATGTGTACTGGCCAGATACCTAGTCCCAGCCTGAGCAGATTAAAAGGCTCTTCCCAGGGACAGAGACAAAGGAAGGGAGGCAGAGGCGGCCCCTTGGCTGAGGGGGAGGGCCTGGGGAGCTGGGCAGTGCTTAACTGGGAAACATGAAGAGAAGAGACTAAGCTGAGTACTGGGAGTTTGGGGGCCTGTGGACCCCTACCCCCAAAGGGTCTGAGGTTGCCTGGCCCCTCACTTTGATGCCCACATAGAACCCGGGCTGTGCTGTACTCGCAGAAGCAATAAACCCTCTCTATTCTACTGGCTGGCGAAGACTCATCTTACTGCAGAAGGGGTGCAGGATCGGGGGTACCTGACGCGCCGCCACAACACTATATTCTCAATACCCACTGTGTCAGGATTCAGGAAAGAAAGGTAGAAGAGGACAACAGTCTACCGTCTGAGATAGCCTAAGCCTGGGAAGAGGGCACCTTCCGTCTTTAGGGAGACAGCACTAATAGTCTGACAAAGTGGGTCTTTGCCCACGAAAGCTGATGCTCCAGCACTTTGGTTAGTCTATAAGGTGCCACAGGACTCCTCGTGGCTTTTGCAGATTCAGACTAACACGGCTCCCCCTCTGATACTTAGCACTAATAATGTCTTTCCAATTGTTGTCACTGATAAAAGTGACACTGTTAGCCAAAGAGCAGGCTGTGTTGAATGTTACAACCTCATTTGATTTTAGGGGTAAATATAAAGGTGGGAATGTTTGAGTCATATAAACTGACTCAAAATAGTCAAATCCAAAGCTGACAGCAAAGAGTTATAAAGGGAATGACAAGTGAAATTCAATGGTGATAAGTACAAAGAAATGGACATTGGAAACATAATCCCAACTGTACACACAAAGAGATGTAAAGTTAGCTGTTTCTACTCAGGAAACAGATCTTGGAGTCACTGTAGATAGTTCTCTGAAAACATCTACAGTAGCAAAAAAAAGGTAATAAAATATTAGGAACCATTAGGAAAGGGATCGACAATAAGACACAAAATATAATTACTATACGTTGAACCTCTCTGGTCCGGCATTCTCTGGTCTGGCAACATCCGCGGTAAGATATGATTTTAGTAGTCAGGTGTCTGCTTATCATGGGTGTGGCCAAGTTTCCCACTGTCCCATAAAGTTTGTTTACAGGTACAAGTCCTGGTTCTCAGTATTGTGTGCTGTTATTTAGCTCTAATTTACCCCTCAATGTCTTTTAAGAGCCCAACAAGCAGCAGAAGTGTGGGTAATGCTGCTAGACAATATTGACCTGGTTAAGTCCTGAGTGTGCTGGACTAGAGAGGTTCAATCTGTATATAAATCCAAACACTCAACCCTGGATACTGCCTGCAGTTCTGTTTGCCTCATCTCAATATATAATTGGAAAAAGTAAAGAGAAGGACAACAGCAATTAGGAGTATGGAACTACTTCCACAGGAGGAGAGACTAAAAAGATTTGGATTGTTAATGTAGAAGAGAAATGAATAAGGGAAGATATGATAGAGGTTTATAAAATCATGACTGGTGTGGAGAAAATGAATAAGAGAGTGTTATTTATCACTTAATACAACAAGCAGGGATCACCCAATGAAATTAATAATCAGCAGATTTAAAACAAAGAAAGGACGTACATCACACAATGCAGAGTGAACCTGTTAAACTTGTTGCCAGGATGCTGTGAAGACCAATAATGTAACTTGGTTAATAAAAAAAAAGTAAGTTTAATGGAAGACAGATGTTTCAATGGCTGGATGGTCAGGGATGCAACTCCATGCCCTAGGTATCCTGAAGCCTGACTGCCAGATGTTGGAACTGGATGATTGGATGGATCACTCAAAATTGCCTGCTTCTGTTCACTATCTCTGAAGCACCTGGCACTGGCCACTGCTGGGAGACAGGATATTGAGCTAGACGGACTACTGGTCTGACCCTATATGACCATTCTTATGTTCTTAAACGAGGATATTAAGACTGTGGGATTGGGTGTATGTAAACTGAGGGGAATTCTGACTAAACATAGGGAAGGGAAATATGAGACACACTCCTAATTACTTAGGGTACATTTAGGCTTAATACTACTCAAGGACACAATTAAATGGCTACATTCCAACCATAAAAATGTGCTTTATCTGTGTTGGGAGATATCTGTATTATAACTTGAGAAGCTGACATGGCCGGTTTGATAAATGTAAACAGGGCCTTTGTTGCAGGTCAAGGAGTACCTTTGCTGACATGAATGGCATTATACCTTTCCACCTCCCCAAAGAAATAGGAAAAGAAAAAAAAAACAGAACAAGCAAGTACACTGCTATTGTGGAAGAGCTGATTGTATTTTACTTCGCTTTGATGATCAGATTATATATTTGCTTCTCTCAACATTCAGCCTGATTATTGGCATATTACTGTGTGATCTCTCCTGCTAGTGCTGTCTGAGCAGCCAAGCTGGCCCCTGGGAAGCAGGGGAGATGTTACTCAATCTTAGTCTATGGGTACGTCTAGACTACATGCCTCTGTCGCCAGAGGCATGTAGATTAGGCTACCAGACATAGTAAAATGAAGCGGCGATTTAAATAATCGCCGCTTCATTTAAATTTACATGGCTGCCGTGCTGAGCCGACAAACAGCTGATCAGCTGTTTGTCGGCTCAGCACGGCAGCCATGTAAATTTAAATGAAGCGGCGATTATTTAAATCGCCGCTTCATTTTACTATGTCTGGTAGCCTAATCTACATGCCTCTGGCGACAGAGGCATGTAGTCTAGACGTACCCTATGAATATGATCCCTCCCTCAGTTCTACATAGCTGTACCTGTATCTGGTCTGGGAAGCAACGGGATTGCTATACTCACTGGTCCTTGCGGAAGTCAAGCATTCGTAGGTGATGGAGAGTGGAAGTGATGTCTTGAGGGCAGATTCCAGTGAGTTTGCTTAGCTTTTTTATGCTGATTTGTTTGTCATTTTGATGATAAAGGCACTCCAATATTACACTTTTCCAATAAGCCATGTATGAGAGACGGCCCAGATCAGACAATGGCTTCTCTGGGGACCCTGCTTGGCCCTCACGCTTTGATAGCAGATAGCCTAAGGAAACACAAACAATTTCTCACAAAGACTGGCATACATAGATACATCCTATCCTGGTGCTAACATTATAGACAAGCTTGTACAGAGATATTCTTCAAAAAAGGGAATGAGAAGCATTTGAAAGCCAGGACTATATCCTGCATCTACAGGAGACACTGAATGGGCAGGCTGACCTTTTCCATCTGTCACCCCCATTATTCTATATTGGATTCAGAGATTTATAAACTGCTTTGATTACAGATTATCAGCTATTACAAATATTCTCAGCTTTTGCTCCCAGGCTGTGGAATTCTTTTCCTCGGGATATTCGCATGGTGCCAACGCTAGCATTGTTTCGGCGTCAGGCTAAAGCCACCCTTTTTATTCATTCTCTTCTTAATGTTTGAGTCTGTATGTGTGTGTTCCTCCTCTCTATTTGTTTTTAGCTGGTTATGTCCCTCTGGGGTATCATATTATAAATTTTTATATATATTTGTATTTTTTATAAGCCACCTTGAATATTTTAAATAGAAAGGTGGGGTAAAAAATATTTAAATCAAATAAATAAATAAATAAATCACCGCTAGATGTCACAATCTGCCTATTTTGAACCCAGAACAACAAGATGGGTGAAGTCTCATCTTTTACTGGACCCATATCCATTGATGAGACACAAAAACTTTTGAGCTTAGTGGGCTGTTCTTCAGCTCAGGAAGAATACAATGAGAAAGTGCCAGAAAGTTCTCTGGAAACTGAGAATGCAGTTGAAGCACAGAAAGCATTCTAAATATCCTTTTCAAATTCACTTTAGACTACACTAATACAGTAATTACAAAACTGTGTACTGTTACTCTACTGTTTTTAATCATTAATGAAAGAAAAGGGGGTAAGGAATATTTCATAACTGACTTCAGCCTAGAACACAACAGCAACCTCCTCCTCAGAGGACATGTAGATATTTGTGTGCTTGAGAAACTGATTATTCAGGCACAAAGCTTGACTGAAATGACAATTCTGAGGATTACAAGGGGAAGCAGGTATTTCCACCACTCAGCTAAACAAAACAAAACAAAAACACACCAAAACCTTTCCTTTAAAGTATTATGTTAGGAAACTTCAGCTCCAGTCCTAAGCGTCTCATCTTCTGGTACTGACCCACAGAGTAGTAATGAGCCTGAGACTGCTAATCTCCCTGTGATACACTGTCTTAGTTATGATCAAAGGAGGGGAGGATGCTAGATATAACAATGAGATAGTGGTGGTAGACAAGCCATTCCCTACCAGAGCCTAGGGCTCCCACTCCTGGTCTGATACCAACCTGATTTGTTGACTTTCCATGCATTTGGTATTGCTCGTGTATTTTACCTGGTCTTTAAAGAGAGTTAGGACATGTCTACCCAGGGAAATGTATTGGCAGAACTATTCCAGTATAGTTATACCACTATAACAACCAGGGTAGATACTAAGGCCGAGTCTACACTAGCACTTTACAGAGCTGTAACTTTCTAGCTCAGGGGTGTGAAAAAACCACCCAGGTGAGCACAGCATGCTATATTGTTGTAAAGCACCAGTGCAAACTAGGCTACATAGCTGGGAGCACACGTTAGCTACTCCCCTTGCAGAGGTGGTTTACATACAGCACTAGTGCAGAGGTGGTTTATATAGAGTGCATAGAGCTCTCCCAGTGCTTGTGCCATGGCCATGCTTTCAGTTTAAAATGCCATGGCAGCTGTGCTTTAAAATAACAAGTATTGTGCTGGTACGTGCAGAGAAGCTGGCAGTGCAGCCTGAGAAACTTGCCCTGTGTCTTGGGATTACTATTCATAATCAGAGCTGCAGGTCAGTAAAGGGAGTGGACTAAGGATGTTAAAATGTGGCTAACTGACTAGTCAATGGAATTTCCATCAACTAGTCAACAGGCATTTCTGCATTCCTCCTTTGAAATGTACAAGAGACCCCGCTGGGGTTCTTGTACATTTCAAAGGAGGAATGTGGAACTCCGGGTACAACCCCTTCGGGCTGCACAAGGGTGCCTTCTTTGAAATGCGCAAGAGTCCCCAGCAGGGGGCTCTTGTGCATTTCAAAGCCATGGAGCCTGGGGTCAGTGGCCGACTCAGTGTCCCCCGCTAACCCCAGGCTCCCTGCGGTATTTCCCGGGAACCTGGGGTCAGCTGGGGAGAGTCAGCTGGGGGAAATACTGCGGGGAGCCCAGGGTCAGCTGGGGAGTCCCTAACTGACCCCGGGATACAGGCAGCTGCCCCTGTGAATCACATGGATGTGTGATTTAAGGGGACAGATGCTGAACAGCTGATCTGCGGAGCCTGGGATCAGCTGGGGAGTCACCTGCTGACCTCAGGCTCCATGGCTTTGAAATGCACGAGTAACATTGAGGAGTAACCTTAGTTTGAAATGCACAAGTAAAAAATGAGGAGTAATGTTAGCTCGAACCAAGGGGTTTGGTTCGAACTAACGTGTCCGGGCATGCACTTTCACTTTCGAAACAGCTGTTGATTGGAGTTACATGCCGGCGAGATCATGCTAATGAAGCACGGGATATTTAAATCCCCGCTTCATTGACTATTTCGAATGCCTACATTTGCATCCCTAGTTCGAACTAGGGTGCAAGTGTAGACATACCCGTATAGTGGACTGAAATTTGGTTTTGAATTTGTATTTTGTATAACTGACAAAGTGCTCAGCACCTGTGTAGAGGCATTTTTGATTCTTTTAACTCAAAAGATAAAATTAAAAAACCCTATTAGCCTCTGCTTGAGAAACTATAAGGTCACCTAGTTTAGCTGCTGACAGTTTCAACAAGCAATGTAGCTTTAGGGTTGACTTTATTTCAGAAAGAATTACTAAAATAGGGTGAGCTTTTGCCAGAAACTCTGCTCTGAGCATCGCTACAGCTTTTGACATGAGGCATTTATGTGATAAATATGGGAATCAGAGGAGACATGGTGTATTTGTTTTCATCATGTAGTTTTACACCAGTTTAAAGAACAGAGCCCAAAAGTCTACATTTTTTTGTGACCTCAAAACAGAGCTAATTCTGGAGAAAATAGTTCTTCCAAGAAAGTTCCTGAGAACCTGTACGTCCCCTCATCCAGTCCCATCTAAAAATATGAAAGGCTAAAGAAATCTAAAAAGGTAAAAAAAACTGAATGTGAAAGTGACTCTTACTGAAGTCAATGAGGAATCTGCCATAGCCCTTACGCTGGTACTGGGGAAGAATCATTATACAGGAAACGTTGTACTTCTGTTGGCAGTGCTTCTCCTGAGAGAGACAAGAGAAAGAAATTTGAAAAACAGTGGTTTAGTGAGAAAGAAAAGAAGCTGCTGTGTGAGCTAGTAATTAATCCTCAACTAAAGACTAAGAATGAAAGCCCTAGTCATAGCTCCTTGGGGACAGCAATACGCATCAGCAAAGCACAGTCCCCAATGAGTTAAGATGGAACGGTACCAAGTCATTGTCATTACCATTGAAACAACCATCCCAGGAGAGTAAAAAGAATGAGACAGTGACATCTGCTACCTTCTTCGACTTACAAACAATGAAAAAAATGACAGTCAGTGCAGGAATCTAAGTCCCCACCAATTGCACAAAAGCACCAAAATCAAGTTGAGATACCTTCTAATAGCCAAGTAGCACTGGTATAAATCTAGAATGACCCAAGATTCACACCACTGTCACTGAATCCAGACCACGGTGTGCTGGTCTAGAAGCTGGAGAATGATCATTGATTACAGGCATGGTTTTTTCTTTGCTGCTCTGATAGCTATGATTGCAAGCAAAATAGCTACTGCTGCAACAAACAGACTTGAAAATGTAGCTATCTGAAATCTTATGTCTGGCTTCCTTCACCTGGGTAATATGTGGGTGGGGTACACTAAGATACAGTAAACATCAGTGGAGTCTCCATATTCCTAGCATACATTACAAAAGGTTTAAAATGAGGTTCAAATTGCAGACCAGGAAAATACTTTTGTCTGCAGAGGAAGAGCTCTGATACCTTTGTGTGGGTAACAATGTTTACTTCACAAGCAGTTCTACCTATTGCCATCAAGGGAATAGAAAGTCATTTAAAAACTTCTCCCTTTGAGCTGCTAAGTGCTTTATTAGCTCCTCTGAGGATGTGCTCTGTTCAACGACATTAAGAGGAAATTTGGTTTTAACAGTTGCTACATGTCCCTGAATTCTTCATACACAATTGAAGGTTAGGACCTACATAACTAATCAAAGACCTTTTGACAATACTAAATCTGAAATGGACACAGAACAGGTTAAGCTCCAAGTCTGAATCCATGCTAAAATACTTACTTTTGAGAAATAGCCTACAAGGTGGCAGCCCTTCACATCATTCTGTGTTAGCACATAGAAAAGAAATGGCTCCACATCATAATAGAGTGTCTTGTGGTCCAAGAAGAGTTTTGCCAGCAAACACAGGTTCTGGCAGTAAATGGTACTGACGTTGCCATCAACCTAACAGAAACAAAGAACAAATGAAGTTACTACACATCACCAAACAATGACCTGCTTCTGTTGGACATGTCAATCTTTTCTAACCCTCAAACATTAAAGCGGGGTGGGGAACCTTTTTTGGGTCAGGGGCCACTTACCCACAGAAAAATCAGTTGGGGGCCGCACCCAAATGAGAAGAAAAAAAAAGAACAAAAACCCCCTCTCTGATGTGGCGCCCAACTGAGGAGGAGAAAGACACTCCCCACATTCCCCTCACTCACAAGAGCCTAAGGGGATTTTGTGTGCTCCAGCCCCAAGTGGAGAATGGGATGGGAGGGAGGGGCTGGAGTGCCAATGTTGGGGGAACCTGAACTTCAAGGGCCAGATCCAGGCAAGCCATGGGCTGCAAGTTTCGCACTCCTGCATTAAAGAAAGGATATGCAGATAATGCATAGTAGCTCAGATAGTTCTCAAAGTGCTAGTGTACACTTTGGGTCACTGATCACTCAGTAACATCCTAAAGGAGAAATTAAACCTATTTATGGATTTTCACATACTAACTCATGAACTCAGCACTATGACACTGAGAGCTATCATTCATGTCTTCATTTTTGACAGAGCTGAATGACTTAAGGAAAAAATGGAGGGAAAGATTTTTATGGGTAATCCCACATGATATGAATATTGTAAAAGGCATCAATGTCACATTTTAAATGACACAGGAAAGAAGACGTTATCAATCATTTTTCTAACTTACCTCAAAGACTGAAATATTGTTCTTTCTGTAAATTTCATTGGCTGGAGGATGAAACCAGCCACACTTCTTCATATGCTGCTGGAGGATAGTTCTACTTTTCATATACTTTAGACAGAATTCACAAAGGTACAATTTAGGTAGCCTGTTTGTAAAGGTAAAGAAAATTAAAATCTATATATACACTGTATGCTTTTGCTTATTAACTATAACAAAAGTATTACATTCTTAAAGCTAATAAAGAACATGAGGGAAAATAAAATGATAAAAAGCAGTCTCATTAATTAAACAACTTAACCAAATACAAATTGAACCACTCAAATCTGGGACTCTCTGTTCCGGCAACATATGTGATATTTGCTTCAGCCATAAAAATAAATATGCCTCAGGCCACCCCTATTTCCTTAACTATTATGGATACACATTTTACATACAATGGTTATTCCATGTACTGAGCTATACTTAAGCATGAAACAATATTCCAATGGAAATGGTAAAGGTCTCATTGTGCACGTGTCAATTACTACTCTGTAAAAATACTTTAAGGAACAGTTCTGCATGGGGGATGGGTAGGGAGAGAATGGGCTAGATGAGTACTTTGTAATTTTCTTTCAATCTCTAATTTCTATGAAGCCTCTCTAAATCATTCACTATGATGAGGTCAATGATGAGCCTGCCATTATTGATTTGACTCCAATTACTCTCTCCGGCTACAGTGTTAATTATAGTTATTTTAACTAATCCCACAGCATTTGGCAGAGTCTGAATTATTTTTATAGTGATCCTCTGGCCCCATGACTGGGTTAAAGGGTGTTTTGTGGCTTCAATCTTTCCTTTGTATGGTCCTATTTAAAGCTGGTCCACATTCTGAACTGACTTTCTTTTCTTTCTTAACCACAAGGTAAGACTGCTTATGGTTTAGACAATTTCAAAATTCTCACCAAACAATATAAAAACAAGCAAAAAAATTTTATTCTCTCCTACATGGCAATCTCTTAGGTTAGGAAATGCAGAGATTTACCATTTTTGTATTTGGTAAATGTAAGGCAATACACTGATGACAACTATAAATAAATATGTGCAAACAGAAATAATGTAGATACAGTTCACAGTATAATTTTAAACAAATTATTCTTAGCAGCTTTTTTGCTTATTTCTTTTTCTATCGCTTGCAGGAATTCACAGCTCGAAATCAGATTATTTCAAAGCTTACCTCAGCACAATCTTTAACAGTTTATATTGTAATGTACGCTAAAACTAAAGAACCGATGAGACCTCAGACCCAACTTCTCTAGTCTTAATAACAATGGATTGCCAGATCACTTAGCTTGGGCGTGCTCTCCCCACTGGGAACACAGCATCTCAACTCTCTGCACATCCACCTTAGGATACCTTTTGAAAACATTTCTAATATTTGCAGTATATATGGACCCCAAGACACCCATTTCATTATTTGTCATATCCACATACGTTTAAATGCTCTTTATATGCTAAAATTCACAATCACCTGCCTGGGATTCCTGCACCTGCCAGAGTACCTATCACACAAATTGTAAACACCAATGAAGGTTACAAGCTTGCACAATGTACCTGGAGTATTCCTGTGGATATGGGGAAGAGTACCAGGTGTGGATTTCATACTTCCCAAACTCGATAACCGAAGGACAGCGGACTTGTGGATCAGGGGGCCCTGTCACTCCTACTTTCTGTACAAGAAAAAAAATTTTTTTTTAAATTAGCAAATCAAATACTTGTCTGTTCCAAGAATACAGGTTAGGAGAAATATGTTTATATCCATTGGTGCTTCTGTATCCCCATCAATGTAATATCTATGCAGAGAGATAGATAACTGCAGATAGTGTTTGGACACACAGCATACATATATCCAGTTATACTGTATACCCACACACACCACATGCACTGCTATGGGTTACAACAGTGACAAACAAATCTCTATTCAGGATGTGATCACTGGTTTAGGATAGAATCATCAGGGGGTTAGAGGAGGTTTTTTTTTTTTAAACTAGCCTCATGAGAAACAAGTTAGAAAAATGGGTCCCAGTTTCCTACAAATCCCCTTTCTAATGGTCTTGAAGATTAGCTGGCTGCAACATTTTCATATGCTTCCAATAATATATTTGCAAAACTCATATCAAAAGTAAACATGGAGCTTCTATGTAAATCCCATCCACAAACTGCTGTTTTGCATGGGATTATGTCAGGACATAAACAGCTCTTCTCTCAGTGCTTTCTAGAAAGAACTTTTGGCATTTAAAGGTAATACAAAAATCCGGAACATAGTGGCATTCTCTCAGTTTGACTCTTAAAACTCCTTAAATTTCCTCAGAGGAATTTCCCTGAAGCTTTCAGCATGTTCCCTGACCCATACATATTTTAATATTTTGTCCTTTTCTTCCTCAAGAGAGATGCTACCCAAACGCCTATTGACAGGCCCTTCTCTGAGCTTGCTGACAAACATTCTTCCAGGATATGAACCTTGAAATTTAAGAAATGCACACCTCCTCAATTTTTTTAACTTGTCAGTCCATGACCACATTATTTCAAAAAGGCTGTGACACTCAAATGGTTAAAATCCAAAGGTTTTCAGTGGCTTTACATGGTCACATGATTTAGCCTGGACTACAGCGCCATTAAATGAGACCACTTATATGTAGGATGACAGATGTTAATGTGAAGAGTGTCAGTGAAATGCCTATAAATGTATTCCAGTAGAAAGAAATCCTTGGCCACTGGGTTATGGCATAAAACACTATCATGCCAAATCCAAATTTTCCATTTAGTGTAAGTGTTAAGTAGGACTAATGCAGCATGAGGAAAGCTCAGATTATTCTTCGTTCAACTCCCCTAGTTATACAGGTTTGAACAGAATATCTCAAGATACAGAAAAAAGCAAAAGACTTCTGTCCCAGTGTTTTATCCAAAAGCACCAAATGAGTTAATCAATAATGAAAGTGCTTCACTCATACGTCCTTCTATTCTTACCAAGCCTACATTTTTTCAGAGATTGACCAAAAAACCCTCAAAAATTAATTAGGTATCTATGTATGATCAAAAGTTCCACTACCTTAAAAAAAAAAAAAAAAAAAAAAAAGTAGTTCCCCCTCAGGTTACTGATTGAGTTCTTAGGTCCTTCCCTTTTAGGAAAAGGCCTGGGGGGTTCTCTCAGCTTCCCTTTGGTGCTTACCTTTTTTGAAGGGTAAAAATGTTCTCTCAAAGATATAAAAGCCCTGTGCTGAGCTAAAACAAACTTTGGTGCTAAAAAGCTAACACTAGTATTCTGCTGATATTTGGATCCCAAGGCAAAATAAAAGTAGAATCACCCACCACACTTCCAAATTAGACATATGTCATGTGAGAACTTCACCTGTTGACAAAAGCCAATTTATGAAGAAAGAAAGGAGTAAGAAGCTTTTTATATCTATGCAAACACATACTGAAGCATCCACCTATATTGTATTCTGATAGTAAACTACAGCTGCATACTCTTCCTTCACTGCACCTAAGAGCAGCAAAGCAGAGTTGGCAGTCAGTCACCAACACAATCATCCCAAGTATGTTTCAAGGAAGAACAACAAAGAGTAATGTGCACCTGTGGCAATGTCTCCTGCGTCTGTGCCCGTGCATCGGCAAACCTCTCCTCCAAATGAATGCCCAGTGTAAATGTGGAGACCCAGCTCCAGTACAGCTGCTTGCACATTGCAATGGTCAGGAGAACCCCCTCAACAGATGTATCGAACAACTAGAACGCTTGCTGCGGTCTGCCCCTACACTACTTCCTTCTCACACTTTTACAGACTCAGTTTCTTCCCTGGGCTACTTCATTCCGTTTGTGCATTTCCGTTTGTTCAGGTGCAGCATTTAGCTCCACTCTACGCAGGCTCTCGGCATCAACTGCATCTCAACCACTGTTTAACCCACTCCCTGCCAAAATCCATCCACCAGTTATTTTACTTTAAAACTACATGTCATCTTTCACCAGATTATTTGCAATATCAAATACATTACATCTAAAGTTTGTTTTTCCTAAACTTGTTCCTTTTCTGACAAACAACTGTTTGATAAAGGCATTTATTTACTAAAGTTTTGTCCAAACTCCTGGAAGATGAGCTTCAGATTTTCATTTACTTTTCTAAGCCAAAATTCTCTGACTGAAAAAGCTCATCATTACTGAATTTCATTAAAGGGTGGGGTTGGTTTTCTTTTTTGGATCATCTATGTAATAATGTCATAAATAGGCACTCCTGTACAGTACTGCTGTGTTTTTGCTGGGATTAGAAGGGTTAAGAGCTCTCATATTAGTCTGGTTTATCTCACTGCTGTGGTTTAGTGCAGACTTATCACAACTCATTATTCATTAACGCTCTTTGTATATAGTGACTATATTTAGGTTGAGATCATTCCAATTACTGTGGCACAACACAGGGTAAACAAACAGAAGCCCAAATATCTGGAGAAAGAGGAACAAACTGCATAGGGATAGTTATACTTAAGGAAAGAGCAGACAACAAGCTATTTCAAGGGGCACTTGTAATTTTAGAAGGAACAGATCATTCAAGACAGAAAACTAAAAAAAATGGACAGAATAATGCAAAAGTCCAAAAGCAGATGGTGATTTTTACATAGGAAAATAAAGTTTGGAAAGCTGGCAATTTTTCAAGGAGGCAATATTGAAGGCACAAGTACAAACTATCTCCATGCAAAGAAAAACTAGAAGGAATAGTAAAAAGCCAATATGGCTCCATTCAGAGCTCTTTAATGACCTGAAAATCAAAAAGGAATCCTAGAAAAAGCAAAAATATGGATGAACAGCTAAGGAGAAGCACAAAAGAATAGCAAAATAATTTAGGGACAAAATTAGAAAGGTTCAAGTACAAATGACTTATACTTAGCAAAAGAGATAAAAAGCACTATAAAGAGGTTCTTTAAATATATTAGGAGTAGGAGAAACACAAAGAAAAGTACAGATCCTCTGCTTAACAGGGGTGGAGAGCTAATAGCATGTGCCATGAGGAAGGCTGAAGTGTTTACTGTCATTTTGCTTCAGTCTTCACTAAAAAGTTAATGATGACCCCATATTTAACACAGTCCATATTAACAAGGGGGAAGGGAAAAAAAGTCAAAGCAGAAAAAAATAGGTTAAAGAATATTTAGATAAGTTAGATGTAGTCAAGTTAGTAGGGCCTGATGAAATTCATCAGAGAATACTTAAGGACTACTAGGTCCAATATACGGCACTACATTTTAAGAAAGATGTGAACAAAAACTACAAAAGGCGTAGAAAACCTGACCTCTGAGAAAAGGTAAAAAAAAAATTAGACATATTTATTCTTGGGAGAAGACAACTGATGTGGACCTGATAACAGTCTTTGGTTAGTAAAAGGTAGTTATAAGAGGATGGGGATCAATTACTCTCCATGCCCACTGCAGGTAGTACCAGAACTAATGGGTGAAATCTGCAGCAAAGGTGACTTAGGGTAGCCATTAGGCAAAACTTTGTAAGGGTAACTAAGCTCTGGAATAGGTTTCCAAGAAAGCTTGTCAAATCCGCATCATTGGAGGGTGTTTAAGAACAGGATGGACAAACATCTGTAAGGGATGGCCAAAGTGTACTCAATCCTGCCTCATAATATATAAACGACAAGAGATGTATGCATCAAGAGCATCTTAAAATACTTTACTGCAGTTCTCATCTTGCACATTTAGTTTGATGCCTCGATCTGCCCTTTGCTAAAGACTGCTACTCATGACAAGGGTCTGTCCTTTCAGTTTACCTGTAAAATATTATGCATGCCTGATGATGCCATAGGAATAACTTGCACCGTATTAAATTAAAGACAAACTGCATATATGGACTGAGGTATTTAGAACATAAGAATGGCCATACTGTGTCAGTCCAAAGGTACATCTAAGCCAGTATCCTGTTTTCAGACAGTTGGAAATAGCAGTGCCCCAGAAGAAATGAACAGAACAGGTAATCATCAAGTGATCCATCCCTTGTTGCCCATTATTCCCAGTTTCTGGCAAACAGAGACTATGGGCACCATTGCTGCCCGTCCTGGCTAACAGCCACTGATGGACCTATCGTCCATTAATTTATCTAGCTCAGTGGTCCCCAACTTTTTGGGGCTGCCGTGCGCCCAGGGGCGGGGCTGCACATGCACCGCGCGCCCAGGGTGGCACCGCGCACGCGCCACACACCCAGGACGGGGGCAATGCACCCAGAGGCAGGGGCCACGCATGTGCTGCATGCCCGGGGGTGGTACCGCATGCCTGGGGGCAGGGGCCGCGTATGTGCTGGGCACCCGGGGCCTGGGGCGCAAGAATGGCTCAGGCTGGCCCTGGTCACATAAATGCCCCGGCGGGCATCATGGCGCCCAAAGGCACCGTGTTGGGGACCACTGATCCAGCTCTTTTTGAATCCTGTTACAGTCTTGGACTTCACAACATCCCCTGGCCAGGAGTTTCACAGGTTGACACAGTGTGTTGTGTGAAAAAATACTTCCTGGTGTTTGTTTTAATCCTGCTGCCTATTAATTTCATTTAGTGAACCCTAGTTATTATGAGAAAGAGTAAACACTTTCTTATCTACTTTCTACACACCAAACAACTAATCAGAAGGGGCAGAGAAGTGCATGATAGATATTAACTCCCAAAGCACTTAGTATAGATTTAATTAATAGATTTTATCTATTTTCTTAGGTCCGGATCTCAGAAGCTTTGCAAAGAATGAAGAAGGGGACACGCAGGAAAAATACTACTAAAATAATAGATATTGCACACAAGATCAGTTTTACAGTATAAAACAGACACTGCTTATATTTTTTATATCAGTCTCTCTCTCATTATGCATGGGATCTCTCTGTTTGATAAAAAATACCTAAAAATATAAATGGAGAAGCAAAGTAAGTGAAGTAATATATTTTACTGGGCCAGCTTCTCGCAGTATAAGGAACACGCTTTTCGCTTACAGACAACTTTTCTTCTGAAGCTCTGTATAAGATCAAAAGCTTGGCTCTTTCACCAACAGAAGCTGGTCCAATAAAAGATATAATCTCACCTACCTTGTTTCTCTCATATCCTGGGACCAACATGGCTACAATTACACTACGTTCAACAATAAAAATATAATGATTTCTAAGACCTATATCTCAAGACCCTCCAAAGATTGAAGCTACGATGAGTTTTCCTTTTCAATGCCAAAATATCTTAGATTCTTGTACTGCAAGATCTAAAATATAACATTTTTTTTCTAAAAAGTGTCATTGGACTACAGCTGAATCCTGATCACATTGGGCTACAGGCGGAGGCTTTTTTGTTTTGTTTGTTTGTGGGGGGTGTTTGAGTGGAAGGGAGGATAGTTAGGGAAGAAAACATTTCTCTCACAGGTTGTTGGTTGTTTTAAAATGCTGGATCTTAGAATAAGTTTCAGAGGGTGCTCATTAATGAGTGAGCAGAGGGTATGTAAGAGGGACAAAGGTGCATGATAAAGCAATAATATAACGTATATTATATATAAAGTTATTCTCATGAACTTTTTTAAGCTTGCGAAGCTAATCTGCCACAGCTTTCAGTCTCCTTAAATCAACTCCCCATTACTATACATTCTCTTAGACGAGGTTATAGGGAGCAGGAGGAGCATTTGTTTTCTGTGTTTATATTTATAGCACAGGCTGAAGATTTCCTCAACTCTAATAATATGACTTTACCTGCAACGCTTGTTCCTGAATGTCTCGGAACAACTCCATATCTGTTTCAATCATGTCATCCTGGCTCCCAAGAAGCCGTTCCTCATTGTCCTGTTTTCCATCCCAGCCACCCTGATTGTCTGAGAAGGAGAGAGAAATATCTCACTTATCATTAGCAAAGCTTTAATTGCATTCTTCTCCTCTAGTACGAAAAGACAACTGCATTTCGGTTACGTATATACTAGCATTTTTGTCAGTGAAACTTGTGTCACTCAAGAATGTGAAAAAAGACACTCATGACCGACACCAACACTGAACATCTTCTACCAACACAGCACTCTCCACACTATGCTGGCACGAGATGCTCTCCTACTCACATAGTTACTGCTGCTCATTGGGGGTGGTTTAATTATGCTGACCAGAGGGCTCTCTTTGGTGTGCACAGAACAACTACACAGGAGACCTTACAGTGGCAAAGCTGAAGTGGTACAATTGTGCCCCCGTAAGGTTTCTGGTGTAGACACAACTTTAGTCACATTGCTTGGTTTCTGATGGGTTTGCAACCATACAGGAATAGACATTTCTACATAACTGGCTCCGAAAGACATAATGCAAATATACAGGACCTGGTGAAATAGATGATCTCTAAAGCTTTAATATTACTGCAATGACATGCACATAATGAGAACTTAGAAATAAAGGCAATTACATATGGCTTACTGTTTTATTTATGGCTTACTGCTCTATTTCTGGATCCAGCCAGCCAAACATGGGCTTTCTCTGTCTGTCCCAAAACAGACTGCAATATACACCTCTCAAATACCAGGAACAATACTCAATTACAAGAAAAATCCAAGAGAAAGGAGTAAGACTAGAATTTTGCAGGAAGCGCCTTTTTACCATTACCAGAGAAGGCACTTGCACTCAGTTCAATATTCAAGTAACCAACTCTGCAGCCACATCAGCAATGTAATAGCCTGCTTGCTGGAAATTATTGAGTGGTGGTGATTCCAACACTTCATCTCACAACCATGAAGTGCCTATTTTACACTTCCAAAGTCAACCAGCCTGATGTTCATAATTAAGGGTACAATTTGGTCACAGAGGTCCTGGATTCCATGACTTCAACAGATCCTGTGACATCTTTAGCTCCATCTGTCAGCCCCATGCATGGTGGGATTCCAACTTAAGTCTTCAGCCCTGTGGGACCTGTCC